AAGAGGGCACTGGAAGTGCTTCAGTTGGGTTAGTTCTTGTCTCATTCACTAAGCTACACTAGCAAATACATGAGACGAATAGTATTTGAATTTCGAGTACGTCCTGACCGCGAGTAGTTCAACAACAGATCGATGGCATGCAGCAGATGACCATTGCAACGAAAGCTGCAACTGATTCCACTACGTCTGACCTTCTTACCGATAAGGTCAAGCGCTGGCTTTGTCCCCCAGATCCGTCTACAAACGCCAACCACGCGAGGAAGCTCCGCCATGAAGGGACGGGCGCGTGGCTCCTGAAAAGCCCCGTCTTCCAGGAGTGGCACTCGGGGTTGCGTCGACATTTATGGCTGAATGGGCTCGCGGGATATGGAAAGACAGTTCTCAGTGCGACTGTGCTGGATCATCTCACGGAGGGAAGTGACCGTCTTATCCTCAACTTCTTCTTTGATTTTAGCGACACGACAAAGCAGACCTTGGATGGCATGCTGTGGTCGCTTGCTTTCCAGCTTTATCAAGGAGGGACGGTTCTGTAGGTCTTCTTGACGCCTCATTTCAAGCACACCAGGATGGCCGCGACCAACCTGCTACAAAGGCGCTCGAGGACGTTGTGTGCAAGATGCTTGCAGTCCAGAAGAAGGGCTTTATTGTTCTGGATGCTTTGGACGAATCAACAACAAGAGATGAACTCCTCCTGTGGATAAAAGACGTAGTGTCCAGGCCAGGGTTGGGCGATGTACGGCAGATGATCATAATAGTATCACTTCTCTACCACTAGAGGAAAAAGGTCCGGTTTGTATAGAAATAAGAAGTCCAGCACCACCTAGCCCTGCAGCCGCCGACTCTATGGAGACCCAATTCAGCCAATTTGTATCCACGCCACAAATTGGTTGCTCCAACGAAATGGCATCTGAACTGACAGACTCCTTCGAGGCTGCCTTCGAGGCTTTTCAAGAGCCTGGCGATGAACTATGCCCTTTTCACCAGCCGGAAACTCGAGGCGCCACCGCGCCCAATATCAAAATGATATCGACGGTAGTGATAACGATACCTCCACAAATCCCCAGCAGACGCGTCAAAGTTCTCATGTGCCTGTGCAACCAAGCATTAGGTCGTATGACGACGTGGTTGGCCGAAGTTCAATGCAAAATGGCAAGCACTTGAACGAAAGCAACAAGGCACAAGGCTTCTTGGGCTGCAGTCAGGGATGCCAGCCCGTGGAATTGGAGACCCAGTCTTTAGGGGAGACGGGTTTCCATTCCAGTGCAGCCACCGTTCATCACACGGAGGGAAGGACGGGAATGCTCAACTCCTGTAATGGTAAAAACAAGCGCCGGCGTCGCAAAGCCCGTGAACCCGCAGGCGTTGGAAGTGATAGTGATGATGAATCTATTCCGACACGCAAGCTTCGAAATGCAAGATCGCACCGTCGCAGACTAAACCCAACCCACGATCGCAAGTCCAAAAGATCCGTCACTAGACTCCAAGCAAGGAACCACGAAAAGATTTCATCAGTCAGTGGAGATCAACATCTAGATTCTACCATTGCAAGTTACGAGGAATGGCTTCTTTCAGATGCCGTACTCAAGTGCATACGGGATAACGGTACCGTGACGTTTCAAATGCAATTCACGCACAGCCTCTCACCCTGTGGTATGCGCACTGGACACCAAAGACGACAAATGAGTCACCCAAATGTATGGACCAGTCGCAGTGCCACGCAGGAAAGCCCAAGGACCGTGGATTGCCCAACAAGAACTTTTGGCATCAGACAAAGGCGGTACCACCCATCAAGCATTGCTGAACGACTCTGATGATGCTGATATCTACAAAACGCAATTACTAGCACGGTGGGGTAGGAACATCTTCCTCAGATAGTACATTAACGGCGGCACCGGCTGGGAGCCACGAAGAAATATTCTGGACAAGAAAATGCTACACGATTTCGAGTCGACTTATGCCGGATTTAATGAGGGAGTCGACGTGCTGAGCACACGGCTAAGCAAACGCGGTAAGCGACAGTGTCTTGCATTTCCATGGTCGCCCGCAAGCTGAGGGCTCTTGGGTAAAAGAGGAGCTGTTAGGCCCCAACCTCCTAGAAAAAGCCAGGCACAGTGAGATGGATCTTGGGAGATATAATACAGCAACTTAGTATGCCAGTTAACTAATAGAGCCACGTGTTTCGTATCTTGAGTAGAACAGCCTGCAATTATGCGTCCGTCTCCGTCTTCTAGACAGGTCAAGCAACGCGTTTTTCAAGGCCGATCACAGCTTGTCTGCAGTCCTTAAAGGTATAAAGCCTAAGCCCATGTGATACTGTACTGTAGCTGCGGTTCCTAGTAACGTTACTTTGGACGTAGTATGGACCTGACTGAAATTGCAAGTCATGCGGAAGTGTTCCCTTTTAGCGTGGCTGGGATCTTAACCAATCAAATCGCTAGAGTTTCAATTCCGCACTTCTCGATACGTGCGATGCCACTGATATCGATAATCACCCCTTAACATGCATACGTATTAATCTACCTATTTGTATCAATTAAGTTAGGAATAAACCGCCTTGCATCATTCCATGGTTTTAGGTGCCGAAACTCTTCCGTGATTTGAGGTGTTCTTTGGACCTCGTCGCGATGGGTACCGAAAAGTCGAAGTGGGGCGCGCTAAAAGGGAACACTTCCACAGCTAAAGGGATAAGCTCACGCCACATGTGCCACGTTATGAGACTCATCGTTAACTGAGCTTGTCCGTTGAAAAGACATTGATTGTTGTTCTTTCTACCCTTCAGAAGGGTTCATGTCATTTATCTTTAGTTTAGAAGACTTCCTAGCCAACCTGATGCCCAGCCTCTCAAACTACTGATATCAATGATTTTATGACATCCAGCAATTACGTCAAGTCTGCTTGTCCAACTAGCAGAGGCAGCCTTATCCGACAACATGATGCGATGTTGTGGTCTAGCCTGCTTAAATTCAAAGATCAATGCATTGCTGCCGTCAGGACTCATGACACGCTGCCGCTACGTCAGCCCATCAAGTGTAAGCTAGATTTCATGCCGAAGGGCGGCATGAAGAACAGACCTCACATTGACATCTCCTTGGCTTGCGTATGCTGAGGTGCCCGGGTCGCAATAGCTAGATACGAGGCTAAAGTATCGCACCTATTACCGGGGCACCCAATATAGCGAGGCTACAGTCTAAATATCGTCTGATCCTGGCGCTAGCCCTCAATAGCATAGACATAGACATGAAAAAAAGATGAGACGTACTACTCCGTAAATATTCAGGGGTTTGTTTCACTCCAGAGCTACAAGAATCTAAAAGAGTTGATTTAGAGATTGCACGGATCGTCACAAAAGTCGTGTACACGTCTACGGCTTAGTAAGTGATGCTAGATGTAATACTTAAGGGTCCTGAGCGAGTTACGCTTCTTAGAACGATAAATTAGTTCAAACGTTAACGCGTGTGTCTTGTATGTTTTCCTGTTCGCTCCTCCAATCCATTTCATGTGCATCCCAAATAACGTCTACCTCTATCACCATCCTAGTATCCCATACTGCGCCACCCCTTGCACGTTAGAGAAGTTGGCTGCAAGGGGTAGAATCATGCGAAGGCTGGGTGGGAGTCCGTGGGCCAAGCAGTCATCACAACCATTCCATTTGTTACTATGTGTGTATCTAGCTGAGCTGTGGAGCAACTTTCTGATATTTCTATGCAGAATTGTGGTCTGTCATGTAGGGATTCTAGGTAAGCACTGCTGCCATCGCATAAGCATAATGTTCACGTGGATGTAAACGAGAAGCAGTCAACGACTCTTCGGTAGGCGTAAGCGGGGGCGTTACAGGGTGCATCGCACCGTGCTAGGCTGGCTCTGGGGTGGAGTGCACCTCATTGGGGCAGTGCAAGTTCGGTGGTATTGCATGCGACAGTCTCATTACATCAACAATTGCGCTGCTTTTGTGGTCAATGACTGAATATCAATTCTTGGAGCTTTCAGAGTTTCGTCAGCCTGCCGCAGCCAAAAGACGGCTAGCTGTTTGCTGGCGACATTTTCGCTGGTTGCCCTACTTGCTAAACGACATGAAATCGCTGGAAAGAGTGGCCTGGCCTGCGTGGATATCTAGGCTCGTGGAAATATGTCACTATCCGTCTTAAGATCACAGACGGGTAAACTCTTTCGCATTCCATGCTGGAAGGCTGTGCTAAGTGGAGAAAATTTATGCCAGCATTGGAACACATCGTGCAGTAAGCGATTCGTTGACACGCTTGATGTTACAAGAAATGCTGCCTGAATTTGGCGCTGGTGCAATGTCACTGCGGATAGGATGCATCGGATGCAAGGCAGACTACGGAGTAACAAGTAGTGCATATAATATCTTGTTATAGTAAAATGGCTAGATACTGCATAGTACAAATTTCATGCCTGTTTAGGATCATGCCTGTCTAAGAATATATTAGCCAAGAATTCCTCCGTAGCTCGGCCAAGAATCAGTAAGTCTCTAGGCTATTGAGTGCAATGCATCGAAGCAGAAAATCCATAAAGTGGACTTCGTCATAGACTGACTCATGGCTTCAATCCGAGGCACAATTTCTGAGACCATAAGGGTAGATCCTTGAATACAATACGTGAATGACTCGGGGGACGCGTGGCTAGATATAGTAGCTAGTGGGTCAGACCATGCCCGTATTGTATCTGGATCCACATCCAGCCCTGCCTCAACAACCGCCGTAGTCTCAGACTCACAGGCGTGCCTGATCCTGTCATGCTTAAAATTACCCATACTAAACTAATTAGTGAAATTAATGCTGCTGAGGGAAGATACTTGCTTGAGAACGAGTCAGAATTTGGGTAGAACAAGCGACGAGACTTGTGTAGTCTACTTGCCCTCCCCCCGAGTATTTAAATAGCTTGGACTGGCCCTACAAAGCTAGACTCCAAATGTATAACAATCATACTTTAAATCGACTTTACTGAATATTACTCCACATTTTTACCATTTCGTCTCTAAAATGAAGGTCGCCATCCTCTTGCTCGCCGCGGCCCTAGGGTCTGCAAGCCCTGTACCAGCGCAAAACTCGATACAAGCTCGGGATGGGCAGAATGCATGTGATTGCTCTAAGCCTTTTGAAGTCTCTGTGTCTGAGGTTAAAAGGTGCCCTGATGGCTACAAGGACATCTCACCTGTCTGGATCCCTCATTGCGTTCAAATCGGTTGCTCTGCTGAGGATCACAAAGCCAAATGCGACGCCAAGCCCCAAGATGCAAAGCCTTCAACTGCGGCGGAAAAGCCTGAAAATACGACAATAGCCCCTGATGAGCAGAAGACATGTGATTGCTCTAAGCCTTTTGAAGTCTCTGTGTCTGAGGTTGAAAGGTGCCCTGATGGCTACAAGGACATCTCACCTGTCTGGATCCCTCATTGCGTTCAAATCGGTTGCTCTGCTGAGGATCACAAAGCCAAATGCGACGCCAAGCCCCAAGATGCAAAGCCTTCAACTGCGGCGGAAAAGCCTGAAAATACGACAATAGCCCCTGATGAGCAGAAGACATGTGATTGCTCTAAGCCTTTTGAAGTCTCTGTGTCTGAGGTTGAAAGGTGCCCTGATGGCTACAAGGACATCTCACCTGTCTGGATCCCTCATTGCGTTCAAATCGGTTGCTCTGCTGAGGATCACAAAGCCAAATGCGACGCCAAGCCCCAAGATGCAAAGCCTTCAACTGCGGCGGAAAAGCCTGAAAATACGACAATAGCCCCTGATGAGCAGAAGACATGTGATTGCTCTAAGCCTTTTGAAGTCTCTGTGTCTGAGGTTGAAAGGTGCCCTGATGGCTACAAGGACATCTCACCTGTCTGGATCCCTCATTGCGTTCAAATCGGTTGCTCTGCTGAGGATCACAAAGCCAAATGCGACGCCAAGCCCCAAGATGCAAAGCCTTCAACTGCGGCGGAAAAGCCTGAAAATACGACAATAGCCCCTGATGAGCAGAAGACATGTGATTGCTCTAAGCCTTTTGAAGTCTCTGTGTCTGAGGTTGAAAGGTGCCCTGATGGCTACAAGGACATCTCACCTGTCTGGATCCCTCATTGCGTTCAAATCGGTTGCTCTGCTGAGGATCACAAAGCCAAATGCGACGCCAAGCCCCAAGATGCAAAGCCTTCAACTGCGGCGGAAAAGCCTGAAAATACGACAATAGCCCCTGATGAGCAGAAGACATGTGATTGCTCTAAGCCTTTTGAAGTCTCTGTGTCTGAGGTTGAAAGGTGCCCTGATGGCTACAAGGACATCTCACCTGTCTGGATCCCTCATTGCGTTCAAATCGGTTGCTCTGCTGAGGATCACAAAGCCAAATGCGACGCCAAGCCCCAAGATGCAAAGCCTTCAACTGCGGCGGAAAAGCCTGAAAATACGACAATAGCCCCTGATGAGCAGAAGACATGTGATTGCTCTAAGCCTTTTGAAGTCTCTGTGTCTGAGGTTGAAAGGTGCCCTGATGGCTACAAGGACATCTCACCTGTCTGGATCCCTCATTGCGTTCAAATCGGTTGCTCTGCTGAGGATCACAAAGCCAAATGCGACGCCAAGCCCCAAGATGCAAAGCCTTCAACTGCGGCGGAAAAGCCTGAAAATACGACAATAGCCCCTGATGAGCAGAAGACATGTGATTGCTCTAAGCCTTTTGAAGTCTCTGTGTCTGAGGTTGAAAGGTGCCCTGATGGCTACAAGGACATCTCACCTGTCTGGATCCCTCATTGCGTTCAAATCGGTTGCTCTGCTGAGGATCACAAAGCCAAATGCGACGCCAAGCCCCAAGATGCAAAGCCTTCAACTGCGGCGGAAAAGCCTGAAAATACGACAATAGCCCCTGATGAGCAGAAGACATGTGATTGCTCTAAGCCTTTTGAAGTCTCTGTGTCTGAGGTTGAAAGGTGCCCTGATGGCTACAAGGACATCTCACCTGTCTGGATCCCTCATTGCGTTCAAATCGGTTGCTCTGCTGAGGATCACAAAGCCAAATGCGACGCCAAGCCCCAAGATGCAAAGCCTTCAACTGCGGCGGAAAAGCCTGAAAATACGACAATAGCCCCTGATGAGCAGAAGACATGTGATTGCTCTAAGCCTTTTGAAGTCTCTGTGTCTGAGGTTGAAAGGTGCCCTGATGGCTACAAGGACATCTCACCTGTCTGGATCCCTCATTGCGTTCAAATCGGTTGCTCTGCTGAGGATCACAAAGCCAAATGCGACGCCAAGCCCCAAGATGCAAAGCCTTCAACTGCGGCGGAAAAGCCTGAAAATACGACAATAGCCCCTGATGAGCAGAAGACATGTGATTGCTCTAAGCCTTTTGAAGTCTCTGTGTCTGAGGTTGAAAGGTGCCCTGATGGCTACAAGGACATCTCACCTGTCTGGATCCCTCATTGCGTTCAAATCGGTTGCTCTGCTGAGGATCACAAAGCCAAATGCGACGCCAAGCCCCAAGATGCAAAGCCTTCAACTGCGGCGGAAAAGCCTGAAAATACGACAATAGCCCCTGATGAGCAGAAGACATGTGATTGCTCTAAGCCTTTTGAAGTCTCTGTGTCTGAGGTTGAAAGGTGCCCTGATGGCTACAAGGACATCTCACCTGTCTGGATCCCTCATTGCGTTCAAATCGGTTGCTCTGCTGAGGATCACAAAGCCAAATGCGACGCCAAGCCCCAAGATGCAAAGCCTTCAACTGCGGCGGAAAAGCCTGAAAATACGACAATAGCCCCTGATGAGCAGAAGACATGTGATTGCTCTAAGCCTTTTGAAGTCTCTGTGTCTGAGGTTGAAAGGTGCCCTGATGGCTACAAGGACATCTCACCTGTCTGGATCCCTCATTGCGTTCAAATCGGTTGCTCTGCTGAGGATCACAAAGCTAAATGCAGCAGCAACAACAACAACAACAACGACAACGACGACGACGACGACGACAACAACAACAACAACAAGAAGAAGAAGGAGCCTGCAACTGCCAAAAGCGACTGTCAAGCACCACCACAAATATAGAAAGCGTGTCAAATCAAGTCGCTCATTCAAGGTGTTACGACCCATTTCAGCGGCTGAACGTAGGCGCCACACAAGGTTCGCGTCTACCTGAAGCGAACCACGGACTACGTGGGCATTATAGATTTTCCTTTCTCTAGATAGATTCATACTCTTTAACAGTTTGCGAACAAAACCACCAGACCTTCAATACAACCACTACCCTCAATTACAGATATATTCGCAACGCAATGCCTGAAAAACGTGCCTTTGGCGTAGAATTATCAGTAAACCGGCCTAAACCTTATGAATTTTGCCCGGTTCAAAAAGCGGGCATGGTGGCTGAGTTATCTACAGGTAGAGCCCAGCGTGCAGTTGCAGCTCTGTTCAACACCACACCGGATATTGGAGCGCTAGAAAACAACCCTATCCGTAGAAAACAAGAAGAGAAGTGGTAGATCACTAAAGCTTATATTAATAGAGAAGCGATGCATTATCGTTACTCTAAAAAAAAACGCAAGATTACATATAATGCCCTAGTTGGCCCAATGGGCGGCCGTGCTGTCGCCAAGGCACCCGGTACTGACAGCAACGTACCGGCCGGTGTCCGCTACTCCCCAACACGAATCTCCACGACTTCGCAAAAGAGCAAGCACCATTTATCCCAGACATTTAACAGCCCAACAGCGGTATTGGGGGTTATTTAGTGAAAGCCAAGGTCAAATATCTGATTGAGCAGAGGCAATATGAAGCTAGTTAGTCTCGGAATAGAATCTGCCGGCTCGTTGGCCGCTCGATCGCCGTACTTATACCTAAATACTTCGTCGCCAGGCGAGTGTGGGGAGCAACTCAAGTAGAGAGGTTGGAAGCGATAGCCAGTTTTGTAGCAAGCCACAACAGAGGGTTCCAGAGGCTCGAGGCACATTCTAAATTAACATCTAATAGGTCCAAGTGACTCGCTAGGGGATGCACGTTTTTATCCATTGACTTGATGCGGGCCGAAAACTAAAACGCTTGGCTTTTTGTGGGGGGCAACGGGCGGCCGGGTGGCGCGACCGACAGACAAATGCTGCTTTCAGGCAGACGGGATCATGGCAATTGGTCGGCCAGCGCGCGGATTGCACGGCTCCCGTCCTGTCAGGGTTAAAAGACCATGCCAGTAATGGTGCTCCGGTTGACGAACTTTCACAAATATCCAGATGCGTTGTGTGATCACACTGCCGTCTGCATAGCCGAACCTTTCTTCTGGCTAGCTAAGGCGGGAGATGCTGTCGGGCTCGGGAGACTACCTTGGGAGGAGAGTGGCTTGCGAGGGTTTGGGACGGCCGGGGTCTCAGCGATTTTGCCTACCGGTGTAGGCGCCATGTGCGAACTGGTGTGTCCCATCAGATGTCGCTGGCTCAAAAAAACATGTCTCTGGCGTAAGCGCTTACTATTCATGCTGAACAACCCAACCCTCTTTCGTATGGTTATACTTAAAGCTGCTCTCGTCACCTCGGACGGTTCTCTCGAGTCCGGACGGTGACTATCGCATTTGGGTTGGGTGGTATCAATTAGTTTCAGTCAACCCGTAATATAGGTACTTCTAGCAACCTGCACTAAATAATAGTATTTTGGGCACCGTGTTTGGCGACGATCTTGCCTTAGTTCCCGTGGTTCTTATGTAGGGTACCTTATGAGGCCTAGTTGTGCAGCAATGCAGAGGGATGCAGATGAAGGGAGATGACGCCCAGATTTTGCGACGGCCTGTCGGCTCCAGCCCATTAATTATGCGAGCCCATCAGTCTGCGCCACATGCCGCGTAACACACTTAGCACGAGCCAAGTTTCGCCCAGGCCAAAAAACAAGCGCCCAGGTAGGCGGCTGCTTTCACGCCTGCTCCACATCCAGCTCAAACCTTTACCTTCAAGCCAAGTTACTTGGGCGTACCAAGGCGTCGGCGCATACGGGGCATCGTTATCCAGAGACGTTTGGATCAGCACATATAGGTTCGCCTCAAGTAATCTAGTTCGTGTGAGGCCCTAGGTCATACGAAATGGGCCGCGGTCTGCCCTCGTACATGTGTTCTGTCTAAAATGGCATCTAGGTGATCTGCTCTGGTTCCGTCACTGAACCGGAGCTCTTGTGCTAGGCGGAGACGCAGACTGGAGGACCTGCTGAACGAGGACACATGCAGGACTGGTGAGAATGGTGTGCTGGCAAGTTACTAGCCCTGGCACTGTTCCTTCAGCAGGCCACTTCCAGAACCAAAGCCACCTTCACCCTAGTCTCGTGGGTAAACTGGTTCATCTCTTGTACCAGTACACCTGTGGCACTAGTGCTGGATCGGCCCTAGATCAATTCGTGCTCGGGGATGCGGCGGGCACTGGCATGCCTGCGCTAGCCTGAATTGTAGGACGGCAGGTTCCGGATAGCAGGATTCTGCTGACACGCCAGTGCTATCCCCCTTGGATGGCTAGCGTAGCCTTGCTGGTCAATTTGTTGTGCTGCCCCGTATTTCAAGCTGCCCAAGGTCTGCTGTCATAAAATGGTGGTTAGCGTGTTTTGGTTAGCTGCTTAGGCAATTCACTCTATGCTGCAAATTGCGAAGGCACCCAGTTTGCCTACAAATCGGCTCTTACGAGCCAGTTTTCAGAAACTTTGCCTCCACACACCCAGCTCTTTTTATCACGACATCCCTCTCTTGCGTCGAGCTGCTCAAACTACCTGAACACCTTCGCAACTTAACTTGAGCACTGTGATGCTCGAACTCTCGCTCGCTCGCACCAGCCAGTTCTGTGCACTTTCTCTGATGAGCTATGGTACCAGAACATTAGAGATGATTGCTTATTGGGTAAACTGCAGCCTAATTTGGCCCACGTTACAGGGAAGGGTCTGCATCCGACCGTTGGTCCATAAATATAGACTAATGTCCCCTCGCACTGTAGTATGCATTAAGAGTGAGACTAGAGTATGCCAGGAAGTTGGTGACTATACACTTGAGAAGTATGAGAGATGCCTGCACTGATACCGACGGTGCGCCAACAACAACCATGCTATCTGTGGAACTAAATGTGCGGAATGCTCCTCGAGGACAATCCAGTCTTTTGATGCGTCATCCGCGATTACGCACAAGAAACCGTCACTTTTCTAGGTCATCATTCTGGTGACCATGCTCACGAATCGTACGATTTGAGCTTTCGCCAATTTTGTCTTATGCTAACGATTAAATGCAGAGATGAGCTCCATTTCTGTTGCCTCTTCCCCAATTGCACTACCGGCCCTTTCAAGCATGTTTCGTGGTAGCGACGAAATATGCCAGCAGCCATCTTGCTCGGGTACGTTGATCAAGCACACGGAAGCAGCCGGGGGAGATCCCATCAAGACAAACCGACATGTCGGAAAACAACGAAGCGGTTTTGATTCAAGAACTGGCGAATATGTCCCAAATGTCTACGGAAATTTGATCGCCAGGTATTAAATGCCCTAGTTGTGACGTGGTGGGAGACATAAAGAGGGCACGGCAGTTACGCTTCGATGACCGGTCGCATCGCAGGTCGGCTACATCTGAATGCAATGAATGGCCATTGGCCCTTCCACAGTGCCTTATCGATCAAATGACGGATAAATCGAACAATGAGAGCCCAAAACCCGACATATGCAAGACTTCGAAAAAACTATATCGTTGCCCATTCTGCGCTGATAAGGAACTGGCAATGCTCAGGAGTTTCACGACTCATCTGCTGAAGCATCACAACAATTCACGAATCTTCGATCTTAAGCCTGTGGCTTCACGTACAGAGGCAATGAGTCAATGAACTCTTCACCAACCACTACTGCTTGCCCAGCTGCAGGGGTCCGAAATCGTACCCCTCTGTCTGAAATCAGCCCCCAGATAGCCTTTTTGGTTCGACATATATAGTGTAGAAATTATGCCCCCGTTGCCCTCGAAGGTAGCCGCGCTGCCTATCGTCAAGAAGAATCAAGCAGCGCCACACTATTGGTCCCCAACATGGGGTTACTATGACCTGCGCAAGCAGTGGAACCACCCCGTAGTAGGGGCCAGAGTAAGTAGTCCTGGCAACGTAAACAGTGCTAAATATACAGAGACCTCGAAAATACATGGTGCCGCTGCACACACTCCGCCGTGGCCTAGACTCTACTTGGTCCTCATTTTCCTCTAGTCAAGTTATGGGGAGTGCATGGTCCCAATGGTAATTTTTTAATCGCGTAACTAAATAACTACATGCTATCAATATATTAATCAGCTAAATATTTATTCTTCAGTGGCGTAATTCACGTAAATGGCTACGTAATAATCTAATACAGGGAACCTGGACGTTGGCGGCAAAACGCTTGGGTCGTGCTTAGCTTCAGAGCAAGCACGTCCCCCAGCCCAGGTCATGTTGTCTGCCGTAAGACTACCTGTAAGGCTCTTGCAAAAGCTAGTCACACCCAAAGCCTTACACCATGTACTCGTTGCACATGGTTCTTGAAGGTAGCCAAACTCCGTAGGGAATCTTCTAAAGGCTTACAGTGCGGGTGGGGGCAGATAAAAGGCCCGTCCTTGCGCTCGTACTTGAGATGCAAATTCTCTACGTGATCCCACATGTGAGATTTGCGCTCGAATGAGCGCATGCGCCTGTTATACGGGAATTACTCTTCGCTGACACAATATATGCACTGCGTTTCACCAAGTACAAGGGGTATCTCCTCAACCTTAACATTGGGAACTGCAGGCTTGATGTCGGGAGAGCCTGGACGAATGCTGCCTTGGCATAGCGAGGAGGATGTGGATACGGTGGGCCTACGCACCTCTCTGCAAGATGCTAAAAGAACCATCAGCTCAACGGCTCGGACCTTACGGTCTGTGGTAGCTTTTGCATTTAAATCTTGTCTGAAGTCACTTAGGATGGCTTATAGTTTTATTCGCTCCTCTAGTTAATGCTACACACTTGGCTTAAGCTTGGCTCTTTTATTAAGTTTAGGATCTACTATTATATCGCTTAACTGTCTCTGTAACTCCTTGTTATAGAGGCGCTAAC